AATCCACACACCCAACCCGACAAGTGGGCAGCGAACTGGAAACACAGTAAAAGCTTAAAACAAAAATTGAATATCTGATAAGACAGAGCAGATTAACAAAAAAAAACACAAAAATCATACTCACTGCCACTCTGTGATTACCTCACCAATGACATTATTACTATTACCAGTGTGACTCCAACATCTGATTCATTCTCCTCTAATGTATTACTGCCACTGACTCATTTTCAACCACACAAAGCAAATTAGACTCAAATTAAACAGCCAAACCTGCCTCAGAGCACGAGGACTGTTTCTGCAGCCAAATAGCGTTAAAAATGCCAATGTGTGGCAAATGCTGCCAAAACCTGCGACGACGCACCGCTGAAATGCTCCGCCTCAACCTCGCATCTCCGTTCCTTTTATTTAGTGTTTATATCAAAACGTCTACATTTTACAGAGATTACATTTCAGATTGATGTGTGCTTTGAAAATTAGGCCTTGGTTTGGTAGGATTTTGTTGTTGGTCTTATAATTATTATTTTTAGCATCTTGGCTGCATTACTTGCATTTATGTCAAGTCAGCAAAGACAGAAAATACAGATTTTAAGCTAAACCGGGAGTTTCAAACTTCATCAAAGTATTTCCCGCATCACAGGTATTAATATCACGAGCGTAGGAGGTCACCGTGACCTTCTGTCACCCTGACGGCACTTAGCACGCCGGCACGCTGAATTAGCAGCACAGACCTTGGCGTCTGTGCCACGGCGGGCGTGCTCAGCCTAGCATGTGTGCGGCAAGCTGCTCCTGACAGAGAGGGGGGCATCTCCGCCGGCTCTGAGGAGCGCCCCCGGGCCCTGCTCAGTCCTCCCTGCCATCTGAGCTCCTGACTTACCAAATCGAGGATAATTTAGCCTCATGAGGCTACCCGCTTACTGGCAGGGAAACCCCGCTTCTGGACTTTAACAGATCAGGGGAGGGGCTTTTCATCTTCAATTCAGGGAAACGCAAAATAAGATGGACACCAGCTCCAGAGATGGAGACTGAGGCATGTCAGGGGAACTAAGAAGCAGATGGGCAGAGAAAGGTCCGTCACTCTGCTGTACTTTATTCTCCGTAAGACAGTCAGGCTCCACCTGATCACGAAGACATTTAACCAGCCCAAGCAAAATCTCGAAATGATGTGATTCTCTCCAAGAGAGTTTAAGACTTCCAAGGCCACATCACAAAAAGAGGAAGGGACTGGGCTGGGCAATGCTTCCGTGAAGGACATCAGGAGACTGTTGGTTCAGATCCCAGGAGGGGCCGGCCCTACCGTATTAGGAAAGTCAGCTGAATAACAGAGTGAAATCTCCAAGTCATTCTGGATAAATGCAGCAGTTAAGCAATGGCAGCGTGTGGAAATGAAGGATAATCAGGGAGCAAGGTCGCCGTGGCGATGGCTCTGCCGCGGGACGGCCGCGGAGCCCCCGCGGGATGCTGCTCTCATTAGCATAATTCCACAGCTGGCTTTGCCAGTCACCATGGCAACGTGGCTGGCCTCTCCAGCAGACAGCTGCAACCTGCACGTGCCCGTCTGCATGGAGGAGACGTTTGTCATACCGCACTCCAGTGTTCAATACTGCCCCCATCTGCATGCACCTTGCAGGAATGGGTGCTGCCCCACCTCCAACGCACGCACACCCCCAGAGGTGGTCCTGTGAACTGCAGAAGACAGCAGAAGGGGGCTAGCTCTTCGGGCCACTGTCACAGCATTAGTGTTGCCACTGGCAACAAAGCACACGCGCTTAAAGCCGGCAAGGACGCTTGATACCGCGTAGCTGACCAAGCATGAATAATCACAATTGTGCGCAGGGCGAGAAGCTCTGGAGAGCATTTGTGCGCGTCCCGTCGCCCAATGGGATAGGAGCGTACCTGAGGCCACACCCACCACGGGCAGGCTGCGTCACCCCGAACCCCTCACATGTGGGACCTGCACACGGTCAGACCCTCACACAGCGAGCCCCCACCCCACCCATCTGAAAGGAACAAACGGCTTCCCTTAAATGCATTATTCAAACCTGCTTCCATTATTTCTTTAAAAGCGCGGGCAGACTGTTAGCCGCTGACAGGAACACGGCGCCCCCGAACGCTTCCCCCGGCGCCTGCGCTGTCATGTTCCAGAGCCGTCTGTTACGGGCGAGGGAGGCGAACATGACAAACAGTTTCGTGCCCGCTCCCCAGCCCTCGGGATCAGACCTAAAGGCTGCATTTCTTTAATCTTCGTTGCTTGAACAGGCACGTCTGGCCGGTTATGGCGCCCTTCTGGGGGCTGAACCCCACCCATGTGCCACACCTGCGTCAGGGAGCGCCACCCCCCTGGCCCGGCGTGTCACCGGATAGTGGCGGGCCAGGCCAGATGGAGCCAGAGGGACAACCTGTCGGGAGCGGCACGTGGGCCCTGCATCACCCCCTCGCCGGCTGGCGAGCGCCATCATGCCCCGCCCACCTCTACCACACTCACGCCACCAGCACCACGTCGCTGACCACGGCATTACAGGCAGACAAGGGGCAATAAATTGAGAATTCATGTCAAAGATGTTCACACAAAAGACAGTGGGAGGGCAAAATCAAGATGGTAACACAGGCAAGGAACCATTTGTGCATGCGTGCATGTTTGTGTGTGTGTCTCTGTGTATGTTTATGTGTGTGCTTATGTGTGTGCGTGTGCGTATGTCTGAGTGCTTGTTTGTGTGAGTGTGTATATGTGTGCTTATGTGTGTGCGTCTCTGTGCTTTTTTGTGTGTGTCTGTGTATGTCTGTGTGTGTCTGTATGTGCGTGTGAGTATAAGAATGACTGTGTGTACAGTAGACTGGGGAGTACCTCTGCTGTGAGAAATTGGAAGCTTGGTTGATAAGCAGCTCCCCTCACCGCACTTCACACAAAGAGAACAGAATACTCATGTGTTCACGGCAGAAAACTCATGTACGGAGTGCGGGATCACGCCAGAATACTCGCGTACGGTGTGCGTGATCACGCCAGAATACTCGTGTTCACGGCAGAAGCCGGGGGGCGCAGTTAGGGCCCGTTATCAGCAGCACTGATAAAGGAGAGTAATTCAGCAGCGTGCCTCCAGTAAATATTGGGCTTAGAGTAAAGTTGTAAGCCCTTGATAAAGGTGAGCTCTCAGCAAACAGCCGCATGATTCTGCTGCTATCATGCGCTAACGGTCCACACGGAGGCCGGGGATACAGGGCCAATGCCACGGAGACACCGGGAGCTTCACTGGCACGAGCCACGCACTCCTAGCACCAAAGCGGGCCGATCGCTCTGGGAAATGGGGACCCCCAGACAGCTGGCACCTGTCCTGGCACAGGCCGATAGAGACAAAGTGCACCTGCTCCCATAAAAACATGGCATCTACCCCTCAGATGTTACCATTTTCAGACCTGGAGGGGAGAGATGAGCCTGATTGAGATGTAAGCCGGGGGCAGACGGGAGGGGGGGATACATGGAAGTGGGGCTCTCCAGCCAGCTGCCCCTGTGCCGTTGCCACGGCGATGCACGCAGGATTCGGCCGCCCCAAATCTGCCGTCCCACGCACCAAGATCGCCTCTAATCTCAAAGTCGTTTATTTTTAATACCTAGAAACTTCTTTGTTCCCCCTCTGATCTCCATCGGCGCCTGATTTGCACTAACGCATGAACAAACATGTAATCAACAAAATTAAAACAATAAATAAAAGGTGAGATTCAGCTGCTGATTGGGCGATGGCGCAGAAATGCGGGGAGAGCAGGGCCTGGGTTCGGCCCCCGGGGGACTTCGCACAGAGGATTCTCGCTGCACAAATTAGTGCCCTTCTTTTATTGCTGCAGAGAGGCAGCCAAATGAATAAGACTTTCCCAGCGATGTCGCTGGCAAGTTCTGGTAGCGGCGAGCCGGGTACAACGGCCTGGGGACGTGCTGGGGACGTGCTGGGGACGTGCGGATCAGAGGGGTCAGGCTGGGGGGGATGTGTTGCCTCTGTGGGGATGCGATTTGCCGCTTTTATCTTTTATGAGATTACCCCTGGCCCCCACCGGCCCGACAAACAGCTAAAGCTTTTCCATCCGCAAGGGTAGGAGTGTCACATTCAGGAAGAGTGGTAGAGGAGGACAGCACTCATGCTGATGTAGAACGAGGAAGAGAGCTGGTGTCCTGCCTCAGGAATCCCTCCCCCCTTCATCATGGCGTCTCACTGCCCCTGATATTCTACACAGAGCGCCTGACAGTTACAGCGCAGTAAGAAGGATGGACACCACCCCAAGCAGATGGGGGTGCGATCCGCTGACACGGGGCGGAGTCAACACTCCAGGGGTGGAATGAAGACCCCTCCGCTTACATCCAGTGAGTCAGGGGACCGGAAATCGGCGTGTAACTGCCCCCACCCTGCCCTTACAGCATGAGAACACAGCATCTCCTGCTTTCGCTAGGCCCCCCGTCACATGGGCCTGACCTCCAAGCTTTATGAGGCACCACTGGCAGTGAGCTCATACCACTGGCAGTGAGCTCATACCACTGGCAGTGAGCTCATACCACTGGCAGTGAGCTCATACCACTGGCCGTTGTGCCTCTGTACGTTTCTGGGTCTCTCTAGCCGTGATAACATAAATGAGTTCCCCATGGCAGCATTCGCTGGTTGATTGTGGTACGACAAATAGATCCTCAACATACAAATGGAGTTGGTTAGACGCTCAGCTGATTAGAAGATCAGATGCAATAATTTCAACCGACGAATAAAATAAATAAAGTATAAATAACGAAGTCAAAGTTCAAAATCAGCTGCCGGATTCATCACCCTGCTGGGTACACTGAGCTATACAGGTGATTCAAACAGACATTACCAGTCAATCGCTGATGGGCTCTGAGCCAGTGGCAGGATGTACGTGTCTCACACTGAACAATGTAAGGAACAGAAAGGAATAGATCACAGGCAGTAACACGGGAGGTGGGTGGTGGGCATGAGCCACATAGGGTAGGGTGGGTGGGGCGGGGGACAGACCTTGTCGGGAATACTCGTCAGCTTCGCGGTGCACAAGCTCAGCCATGCAGCCCCCGTAGTGCAGGCGGGAGTCCTGGTCGTAGGCCTTCAGCGTCTCGCTGGAGCTGTAGGATTTCTGTGTCGGCACACGGCACTCCTCGCTGTCCAGCGATGACGTCGTGAACTGGAACTCCTTCCCACAACGGCTCCGGGTCAGGGAGCGGTGCCGGCGGTCCTTCAGGTCCATGACCCCCGGGGGGGGGAGTGGCGGGGGTTACCGCCGGCTCTCAGTGCAGCGCTGCTCAGTACCCTGCAGGAAGCAGAAAAGCGTGCTGATCACTATATGGCCGCTTTGTGCCAGGGCCCAGAATCCTGCTCGGCACTTGACATCTGGGTCTACATTGGGGACTGGGAGCAGGCGGCACAAAATGAGTCCCAACAACACGGAGCCTCCACAGGTGTGTGCCTCAGACGGTGGGTTAAGCGTTGGAGTGGCCAACAACTCTTGGACAGAAAATCTGTTCCGGCGCGGCGCAGATAATAACACCTCGCCGAGAGCACGCGTCAAGGCGCCCAGTGCCCGTGAGGACCGGTGACACGCCGCCGGAAGGACAGGAGGGGAGAGCAAATGACTTCGGGGCATCGCTGGTCTCCTACTCATTATCACGCCAAAGAGGAACCTCGCTCCCCCCGTTGGGGTGACAGAAGGATAATCGCAGAAATCTGGACCCCGCTGGAGTGGAGCGGGCATGCCGCCTGCATGGGGCCGCCCACGCCCACCCACCGGCCGCCCGCTCCACGCTGGCGCTGCCGCTAAGCCGGCCTCATGCGGCACCCACGGGGCCCCGGTGCCTCTCAGCTGCATATGTCAGAAGTAGTCATACGCATCCCGTCACATATGCTCACCACGGAAACGCAGATCGGAGGCAAATCTCCCCCTGCCCGCATCTCCGCAGCTCAGTAACCAAATAGTTATATTTATAAGTTGTTTTTATCCACAGAGGCTTACACTTGGCCAGTTTGTACAGATATTTTAATGCTGAGCCGTCGTTACTGAAGGCTGTTACGGAAGGGGTAACATTTAGGTCAGAGCACATAACCGTTTGCGGACAGTTATTACTTGCTGAGCTATGTGTTCATCCTGGCCATGAAACAATACCAGATCAAACCTGCAAAGCAACAGACCCTGCATGCTCAGGACAGACCTCATGTGCTCAGGAGAGATCCCATGTGCTCAGGACAGACCCTGCCTGCTCAGGACAGACCTCATGTGCTCAGGAGAGATCCCATGTGCTCAGGACAGACCCTGCCTGCTCAGGACAGACCTCATGTGCTCAGGACAGACCCCATGTGCTCAGGACAAAAACCGACTGCTCAGGGCAGATTCCGGGTGATCAGGGCAGATCCCGCGTGCTCAGGGCAGATCCCGCGTGCTCAGGACAGACTTAGGTCAGATCTCTGGATACCATCCAGGCAAACATCTTGAGGGATGAAGCTGGCGTGGAACCCCCTCCATCCAAAAGAAAAAAAAAACAAAAGAAAATGACATGGAAAAAAAAATCCCATTACAGCTCACTATCGCACGTTTATAGGACACAAACAAAAAAGAATCATTAGGTTATAATTTGCAACTGAGCCTGCTAATTACCTGCTGGGAGAATGAGCCAGGCATCCTAAGTGGGGGGGGCTGGGGCCAGTCAATACTTTTAATAAGGATTCATTAAAAACAGTCTCAAGGTCATGCTGAAATTTGCTCCACTATGTCCACTGATTAAGAGCTGCTATTAGCGCTCGTAAGAGCCTCATTACACAGAAAGCAGTGGTCAGAAGATACCATTACACGTTTAATGATAATGTATTTACCGTATTTGTTGCAACAGTCAGCCATGCTGCCAACTGGCCAGATAGGTGCTTCAGGGAGCAGGTGAGAGGGGTGGGACCATTTCACCACGCATGAGCTCCCCACCCGACATGTCTGACACCACAGACGGAGGCCCGGCTCGGACCGCGGCCCACAGGCCTGCCTCTGCCCAGTGCTTGCACGTGTGCAGCAGCCGTGAATAAGGCCCCCGCGTTCCCGGCCAGGTCAGCGCAGCGCACATGATGGGGGCTACAGGTCAACATGATGCCACTGCCACAGACACGGGCTGCTCCTGTCGCTACTCCGCAGCCTTTGAGGAGTGTCAGCAGAGAGGGGGGAGGTAGCCCCAGCCAAAGCTTTGAAGCGAGCACAGATTTACAGGCCGCGAGCGTAACAAAGACCTGAGATGCGCGCAGGGGGCTGGACCAACCGGGTATGCCATCAATCTCAGCCAATCACGTAAGGCCCCTCAAGGTTAAAGATATAACATTCTCACTGTCGACCGGGTGCGTGTCCTGAGAGTGACTGCCGTATTGTGATATGTTAGTGATCAGCCTTCAAGAATTTAACAGCTTATTTGCCTAATTTATTTGACACGTTGCTGAATGTGGACAGAGGCAGAACTGTTTGGGTTCAGAGGGAAATACGGGGGTGGACAGTGGGTGTCACATATTCACAGGCGTGAGCTGAGTCTGGAATCACAAGGCAAGAAAACGCTGCACACAGGTTTAAACCTTTGAGAAAGAATATGAGCGTTTCTAAACAGCTCCAAGAGATGGGATTAGTGCAAAGAAAACAAGGTATCCAGTCAACCTAAGAAGGGAAACACAAATATCACCAAAAAGCAAAATGGTTACGTTCTGAGTCCATCAGCCTTTGTCTAAATAGTATCGGAGCCACACTGAGGGACACAGGGAATTTTCTGGCCCTTCCCTCTGCAAATATGGACACGTTCTGCTGCCAAATCCTTTCATCCCTGAGCTTCGAGACGCAATAAAACCGGACGTTTCTGCTCTTTGCCATTTCAGCACTCAAAGCAGTACACATCAAAAACAAAGCAGTCAGAAAGGCTATCCCCTCCATTCTGCACATCCAGGGCCCCCTCCCCAAGGAATAGACAATAAACGTCATGTTTCGTGTGTGTGTATGTGTGCCCCCGTGTTACCCGTGTCCATCGGTGGGGAGCTAGAGAATCAGGTGGCTTTATGTCACTTTAGGGGACACTAAAGGCGTTTCGTATTTTTTACGAGAGGACAAAGCATCAAAAAAAAATCAATTTCTTTTTATTGGTTACGCTGTTGCCCACTTCTGCGTTCTTGCCTGCTTGCTGGGCAAAAAATATTTAATTGGCAATCTGGTGACTCTATAGCAGAGTGGGGGGGGGGGTATTTTAAAGTGTAGAACAACAGCGCTTCCTGAAAACGAGCCACTGTCGCCTTGTAAATACGTTGCACTGTGCTGGTGCTCCTGACCGCGAGGATCAATCGATGCGCCATTTTCCTTCCCTGTCCATGCTAGAATTCTGGAAGAAAGAATTATCCCAAGAGCTTGCAGATTCAGGCCCATGCAAATTCGTTCTCACTTTCATCACTTAAGAATAAAAAACGGATTCAGGTTCACACAGAAACCTTTAGACTTAATTAAATGCACTGATACCTTGTTGGATATTTCGGAGACTATTGAGGTCTCCTTACCTGATTAAGAGTAACGTGCATAGCAGAGAGGTGAAGATTCTCACTTTTCATTAAAGGGAAACTGGCATACAACTGTGCAATAATGCCGAATCAGGCCCGAAACATGCAGAACCGTGTAAGGGGCGTGCCAGCTGTCTGCGATGAGGTAATCCATGCTCGTTTGTGGGAAGGGGGGGGGGCATACAGACCAGAGAACTGTGCAGGGATGGTGCCTCACCTGTCAAGCAGGGAGCCAAGGTCGTGTTACACAGAAACCGCATCACATTTCATTACATGGTTCATAAACAATTTGTCAAACACAGAAAACCCTTTTTCCTAATAATGTAGAAAAATTGGAATTTTTTGTTTATGGGGTAAATGAGGTGCTCGCTAACGTTCATAAATGTAACACTGGGATTAGCTTCCTCTGACTTTAGCCGACGCCACGGCACATTTTCTGGAAAGAAACAAGGAAGCGGAACAGAGGTGTTGCTTGACAAACCCAGCTGTACCTTGACATTTTTACCGTAAAAACTGCGGATCAGCTAAGTCCATTTCACACACAACTCTGATTTTCCACTTCCCAGAAGATAAGGCAGCTAATCGTCTTAACAAGTTGTGTTGAGTGTGACCGTAACCATTTCTGGACCAGGACCATATACCCATATAAAAATGTAGGTGACCGGAACCTCCCCCAGTCTATACGGCTCCCTGACACATGCAGATTAAAGTCTAGCCTCCAGCAGAGCGCTGTGCAAACAGACTCTAGTGTATATTTGTAAGGACAGGCCCCAGTGGATACAATGCTGTATGTACATTAGTGCTACACTATCTAATCTTTTTTTTTTGTCTCCCAGTACACAAACACATCCCAGGAAACTCCACTGCTCACTCCATTGACTACAAAAAGCTCCTACTAGGCATTAAACCCTATGGGACAGCAGAAAATCGGTGCCATTTATTAAGGGAACCTTAATTCTTCACTGGGCTGATATGCTTGCCTTTATCTACGGTGAGGACAGCTCTGGGGCAGAGAGCGGGTCACCCAGCATGCAGCACCCCTGCAATCGCTAGGGTTAAGGGTCGTAATCTAGGGCACAACATTACTACCAGCTACGAACTGGATGAGATACACGACGCCTGTTATAGACATGGATACACCTGAGATCGGGATTCAAACATGAAGTATTCACAGCTTGATCACCAGCCGAGGCTGTACCCTGTCATCAACATGAACGCCTAACGCTCACCTTCACGTCATACATAAAAAACTAAACAAAAAACAAACGCAGATGAGAATGTGCAGAAAGAGGGAGCCCTTCTGGGTGCCTGAGCCAGAACCCTGTTATCCCATCACAGGGCGCTAAGAGTTTTATTCCTGCGTGGCTAAACAGTGGATTCAGCATCTAGCAGCGAACTTCCAGAATTCCAAGTAAGCAAATGCAGGTGTGTCTTTATGTCATAATCAAACAACGAAATTCCTGGAGAACACTATAACCTATTATTTCCCAACTGGTATACATACACGCAGGCAGGAGTAAGCGTCAAAGAAAATACACGCACACAATGACACGTCATAGATGGGATCCCTGTGCAAGGAAAGCAGATTGTAGCTGTTTTGTGTGAAATAGATGAGGAGAAAACATGAGCGAGTGTGTGTGTGTGTGTATGACAGCTTGGACGTTTGAAAATGTATTATTTATAGTGCAATTGCCCTGTCTTCAACACCATCATGAAGCCAATCCTATTGTATGGAGCTGAGACCTGGAGAACCAC